CGAGACCATGTGCAAAAACACGCTCAATCCATCGACGCCGTAATCGACTATACTCTATAGTAACACTATCGGGATCGCCGCCGAAGGCGGCTATGTTCCTCTGGAGTCATCGAAGTGCCACGACCTGATCTTTCAAGCTCAAATTATCCGGTAACTTCGAATCGTCGGTGCTCATAAAGCCTATAATAATAAGCACAAATAGAGATGCGATATCATTCTTTTTCTTAAAGAACGAAGTTCTTGCGCTAATTCTTTGAAATACAAACGATAAAATCCCAACATAGTAATTTTATAAATTAATATTTTTCTTTAAACTTTGAATTCCGCTTAAGCAAAATCTCTTATTTGAATTATTGGAAAGGTGATAAAACGTGAGACTTTTTACTTAGAAACGCAAGACGGTAATTGATAATGACAAGCAACGATGTCTTTATCCAGTAAATATTAAGGTCCGAAGTTACAGCTTTGGCCCGAGAATAAGTAAAAACCACCGGGATTGGAGAATACCAGTACGGGCCTTTTTATGGGATCGTTCTCCGATGACAACTGGAATCAAGATAATTTTTCAATGTGTGACTTATTCATACTTTTTTAAGTTAGTGTTACGTTCTATTATATCCTCAATTTCGTTGTGTAAACATTCACACGGACACAATTCTCCATTACATTCTGTTTGAGTGCTGGGCAGGCGGGTCCTTCTTTAGTCGCACCGAAAACGTCGTTCCAATCCGCCGCTGGAATTGCTACCTAGGGGAAATAAAATTGAAGAAACAAAAATAAAAAATTTGGCCAAAATTCTGATTCGACGTCTACCTTAATCTTGTCAAAAAATTGCTGGATAGATCATTTACGAAGCAATTTTTATGTAATATCGTACGATCGTAGATTAAGAGTCTTTCCACATTTTGCATTCTTAAGAAATTGTGCAAGACTTGTGCAGGATATTGCAATATCATTTTATTGGCTGCGCATGTAATGTGGATATATAAATAATATAAATGTGTATAATCCGATCGACTTTAATCCAAAATTAACAACAACATTTTTAATATTTATCTAATTACGATATCTGATGATTTACTTACGTTGCTGTCCGATCGGCCGTTTGGCGTATCTGACACTGCGGAAGGAATAAATTTTCTTACCAAGTCTGGAGATCATGATGGAACCGCGAATTTTTCCAATTGGTGCGACGATTTTATATTGTTCGTCGGTGAGATTGTTATGGGCGAGCACAATGACGGCGCTGAAAAAGAAAACGAGCAAGCGTTTCATGATGTTTCTGCAGAGAAAGATATAGGTCGGACTTGCGAGTTTAATGCGAACAGAAAATTCACGCACGTGAAACAGTTAGGCATTAGCGAGTACTAAAAACATTTCAACTGCACTACAAGAATTTGTACCTTTTATAACGAACCGCGAGGAGGAAAGACACATGTCAGACATACGTTGTCTTTCTGGTAACTCTTGACTTTATCATACAGATTTCTCAAAACAGGCAGCCAGACGTACATGAGGTCATGTACAGTTTTGTAATTTAAACACATGTAATATACACGCGTACGGGATTTTAAACGAGACTAAACGGGAATTAAGCGGTTATTCCATGAAAACTACAGATAAATCCACAACTTCCAAAAATTATCTCAATGTTTATCTGTAACGGTCATAGTTCGTAACACTATATAGTTCTTTTCTTCTTTCAACACATTTTTCACAAGCACATTTTTCAAATGATAAATAGCTGATGTTGCGAACCGATTATGAATTACAAATATTCACGTAGGTCTTATTGTTCTCAACACGTATAATGTATAACGAGGGTTAAAGAAAAGTCTCATTAAAAAAATTCTAACTACAGGAAAGAGAAGCATAAAGTCCAATTACTTTATTGCATTAATAATTCTCATAATTTTGTTTTATAAGAAAATTTTTACTTAACATTAAAAAAATGCAAATATTTAAAAATAATGACCTAAATTTTTATAATTTTTTGGATATATTCTTTAAATTAAGATTCTTCTAGATGTTTTTTTTATTTTTCTGTTGTTAAAGCTGATCGATGTGGTGTTCAGAAATTGTTTAAATCATTTTATTATAATTATTGAACTATTTCTTCTTTGACTCTCTTTAATTGCGTTTGTCTTCCGTACGGAGAGTTTTAGTTATTACATAATAGTTTAGATCAAAATTCGCAGCATAATTATGCTGATTGCTATGAACCTGTTTCTTTAATTTAGCAAGTTCACGCAATCGTTTAGGGTAATATCCGTTGTTGCTAGCAACGATATACTAACGTAAGTATCGAGAAGAAATGTATTCTTGTTAAATTGATAAAAAGGCCCCGAAACTTGCTTGCTCCACTAAACGGACTTAATGTATACCTGAAAAAATTTGGAATTTATACAGCTGGGAATTGGAAAAAAATTGTATAAAATAATAAGCCACTGATATAGATAAATAAACATAAAGCTATAATATTATTTACTCCAGTTGTAACGTCAACTTTAATGTTCACTTATATAGAGATTTAAATTATTTTCAAGATCTTACTTACTATGTCATTGATATCGAATATCATTGAAGTCATCTCTTTCACAATCGTGTGAACCTAGAAAGCAATTTCACCATTTTCACCCACTTCAACCAAAAACAGTGAAAGACTCCTCGTATTATAAATGAAGATCTTGATTCATACATGTCAATTGGTACTTCTCCGATGCACAGTCTGTACAATAGAATTAAGCGAGCTTTCCGTGCAGTTGCAACTATCAGATCCAAAAATCTGAATGCGTGTTTTTTGTAAATTTTTATTTAATTTTTGTTATATATAAGTCACATATATAGTCACATATATAGTTACATATACATATAGTCAAATCAATTGTTATAATATAAGTATGTGACGGTCTCTTGTACTTAAAATTTTAATAATAATTTTATAATTTGTCAATTTAACTTATTTCAGTGATAAAATCGAAACTTAAACAGTAAATACTTTTTATATTTAAAAAATAATTTTGCAGGTATTATAGTTTGTATAATTGTTTTGCAGAAACAATTTTTCTTTATTAGAAAATGTATTTCTTTCTATGAAACTATGATATAACTGTACTGCATTGTAGAGTAACAGAATTAATATTTTTTTACTTTTTGTTTTGCATGTTTTTTTACTTTTAATGGACGAAAATAGGTCGGCATATTTAAACGTTACGAAATCGATTTTAAATATAGATCAATTTTTATTCCGGATTCAAAGGAAACAAACTGTTCCATTTTTGCATATATATCGCTGCTTTATCTAGTTGTCAATAGGCAATATGAACTCGGAAACGATTCGATGTTGAACGACTTGAACAATGATTGGTACAGACTCGCACCTATTAATTTCATGTATGAGCGGGAT